CTTCTTGTTCATGAACTGCCAGGATGGCAAGTGCAGATTGCCCTGTTTAATTACTGGTTAGGGGCGGATGGGGACCTTCGAGGGCAATCAGCTTGTTTGTATTTGCTTTCAGGTTTACGGTGGCTGGAAGGATGCCTCTGGCTGCAGAGGATAGCTCCTCGTCTCAAGAGTCTCAGAATCTAATAAGGTTCCTTCAGGCAAAAGCTTGTGCGACGTAAACTCGTATAACAAACGTTGTGTATCGTACTTGTAAGTCAGTACTATCCATTGCAGGAGAGACGGAAAAAGAGAAGGAGTGATTAGGGCCCTGATTTGTTTCCAGAGGAGCCATCTTGATTTTTCACGTCAACCAAGAGAAAAATAGACTTGAGCATTTTACCCCAGGCCAATTCTCTTCTTCTAAATTATCCTTTCTTTTCAAGGAAAATGTCAAGAGTAAATAGGACAGTTAATAAACTGGTTCTGCATATTGAATTTTTTTTGCAGAATTATTACCATATGATGTTGATCGATTTACTGTATTGGATCTGTGAACCACTGCGTAATTGATTGTTGCTATTCGAGCTGATGTAACACAAGTGGCTCTTCAACCGAGATTTAATTACATCGGACTATGATACGAAGCGATTATTATTATTATTATTATTATTATACACACAAGTTTCCAAACTTGTCATTTACTGTTTTATTTTCATTGCTTTAAAAAAACTCAATAATAATTAATTTAATATTTACATTAGTAAAATCCACATTAAAAGAATTTTATTTTTTTATCATTAAAGACAAAATATAATCTCAAAATTTATTACAAAATCACTTGTCAATAATTGAAAGTAGTAGTAGTAAAAGCAATTCCACTTTTGTGCGTAGATTCTATTAAACTGCTTTTTGCGTACTTAATTATATTAAAATTCAAAGCAGGTTTTCCATTAAGATGAATCTACTTTAAAATTAAAATTTCGAAGACGATGACAGGGCTCGAATAAATTACAAATAAGACTATAAAGAAATTGGATGAAACCTTCAAGTCGAATAATAAGACAGGATCATAAACTTCTTCAGAAAAAATATTTTATAACTCTACTTTCTTCTATGCTTATGACTTTAAATCTACGAGATCATATAATTTGTAAAGAGCAGCTTTTTTGAGTTATAAAATACTTGAATTCCTCGCAGAAGTAAACGATCGGAGATTTTTTTTGTTTATAGTATAAGCGATAAAATTAGATGGCAGTAAGCTAGAACGGAAGTGAAGAAGTTTTTCTAGAAAGTAGATTAACCTTAAAGGTATAAAGGTGGAATGAAGAACAAGGGTCGGCGGAAAGCATCGAACGTCATGGATAATTGGGACGACGTGGCAATTGCGGAACGACGTTAATTAAGTCAATTAGAACGGCCAAGTACCTATATATATATATATATACATACATTTGTTGCGCACGCAGATGGAGAACAGACCGTATCTATACGTCAGCTTGAATCAACCTGAACGCGATTACATGTAGACCAACTAGCACTGACTAGTAATCAGGAAGCTGTCGGCAAAGTTGCTTTAGCAACTTACTTTTCTGAGCCTTCTTCAAGTGAATACTATGTCATCTGCCACAAATGACCAGTAAACTGTGACATTTACACACTCTCTCATCCTCTTGAAGATCTCTACCCTTGTCACGCTTGCTTCTAATATAACATTCGAATACATACTACAAAATCGGACTTTCAATAACCAATGACAGTATTCTATTTATGAAACAATTTCTCAGTCTAACATCCTTTAATTGACATGTAAATTAAAACATATCTCACACACTAATTCCTGTTATATCCTACTATATTATATTACCAATATAATTGAATATTAATGCCAAGAATATATTTTTGTTATTCTCCTCCTGTATTTTCTTTATCATTTTTAAGATAAAGTCATGTTAAACAAGAAAAAGAGTTTGAAAACTGTAACATTTTCTAAAAGTCAACAATATAATTTTTATATAAGATAAAACAAGTTCGTTATAGTAATGCACGTCGCAAGAGACAATCAGAAAATTATGATTACAAACAAAAATGATGCCCCCTATTTAAATTTTCAAAAAATATTAAATATTATATTGATTAAATTTATATTTTTTTAAATTTTAATATAGAAAATTTATATATATTTTAATATAAATATAAAGCTGCATATTTTTACTTGTATCTATAAACTAAATTTTCATCTATTCTGGAATTAAAAAATTAATTAGTAATTACCTAGTTTAATTCAATTATTTTTAAAATAATTTTATTTTATCTAAATTGTCTAAAATTAATCTTTTATTATCTTATCTATTTTTTTATTTTATGTAAATTATCTTACTTTTTCACATTTCATAAATTAAATAAAAAATATTCTAAAAGATGTGTCTGTGTCTTCAATTTTCAACGGTGGAGCACAACTCTCCACTCTTTTTGAAAAGTCTTAAAAACAGTATTTTCGAAAAACAAGCAAAATTTCTATTTCCGTTTTGAATTTTAATTAATCTATCATGCCAAAGGTTGTGTTTTTACGTGTACTAAAAGTTCTATATAATAGAATAATAAAAAAAATTTATATAATAGTTTTTATCGAAAAACAAAACCTGGAGCACAACTCCCTACTCTCCCCTACTACTCACATGGTAAAATTGTCGGTAAATCTGTCACATTTCTCTTTTAGTTCATTTTAAAAAATTATATATTTCTTATTTCAAATCGGCTTTTTTACACTTCGAAACATATATTCTATTCATTTATAATGCAAACTCGAATAAACAAACGTCAATTCAAATGTTCAAGAGAAAAGAATTCACAGTAAGAAACAAATAATTCATCGTAACATTTCAATTCGGTTCTTTTACAATAAAATAATAATAATAATACTAATTAATTAAATAATTAATTAATATGTGTAAATAAAATGCGTAAATTCTAAGATTAGTTGATGTTTAATCGATTCGGTGGAAATGGAACCATGGACAAAATCATACAAACCTTGGGCGAAATTATTTGCCAAGGTAAAAATGATTTAACCAATGATTCACAACCTTGGCTCAAATTTGAATCACCATTGATTATGTCCGTTTCCCATGGTACAATTTCCCATAGGAAATTTTTTTTTTAATTTTATGGATTTTTAACCATTGCTAAAATCTTGGAAACCATGGGAAAATTAATTTTTTAATTTTACGGATTTTGGACCATTGCATAAATCTTGCGAACCATGGGAAAATTTTTTTTTCTTTTTTACGGATTTTGGACCATTGCATAAATCTTGCGAACCATAGGAAAATTAATTTTTTTAATTTTTCTATTTCGGAGCATTGCTGAAATCTTTCAACCATGGGAAAATTAATTTTATTAATTTTAACGGATTTTGGACCATTGCATAAATCTTCCGAACCATGGGAAAATTTTTTTTTCTTTTTTACGGATTTTGGACCATTGCATAAATCTTGCGAAACATGAGAAAATTAATTTTTTTAATTTTTCTATTTCGGAGCATTGCTGAAATCTTTCAACCATGGCTAAAATTAATTTTTTTAATTTTTCTATTTCGGAGCATTGCTCAAATCTTTTAACCATGGGAAAATTAATTTTTTAATTTTTCTATTTCGGAGCATTGCTCAAAACTTCGAACCATGGGAAAATTAATTTTTTTAATTTTTCCATTTCGGAGCATTGCTCAAAACTTCGAACCATGGGAAAATTAATTTTTTTAATTTTTCTATTTCGGAGCATTGCTCAAAACTTCGAACCATGGAAAAATTAATTTTTCCATATCGGAGCATTGCTGTAATCTTACAATAATGGGAAATTTAATTTTTTAATTTTACTATTTTGGACTATCGCTAAAAACTAATTTTGCACCTTTTGGAAAATTATACAAACTATGTACATAATTATATTGTTTAAAATTTTGTTATAAAATAGTTCAAGTCACTAATTTTTTTGTTAATAGTTTAATTGTTAAAGTAAATTGTTAAATTTAATTATGGAATGATATTCAATTGAATGAAATTATTTTGCGTATTGTATGAAATTTAACTGAATTAAATGAATATAAAATTAATTAATTTAAATTATAATTATGTAATGTGAATTAAATAAAATTATTGTCAAATAAATTAATTTGTTTTCTGCTTTTTTTTGATTTGGTCATTTGAATCATCATCTGAAGTCTTCTCATCAGTGGTCGACATATTTTTAGGTCTTTTTTTACTGTTTGTTTGTTTTGGATGACGTAAGGTTCCACACATATTGTTGATCACATTTATGTACTGTTTATTTGTGAATGTTTCTTCCTTGTTTGTTCTTTTTCTTTCAATGTATACTATTCATAATATTAATATAATTTTATAATCTACTATAATTTGTAGTTTAAATAATTTTTAAAAATTATTATAAGTTATCATTAGCTATTGCGAAATTTTATGTGTAACTTATATATAATGAGTAATAAACTGCTTACAGAAAACAGCTTCTCGTATATTGTCAGATATTCCCTCTTTATTTCCCTTTCCTAGAGCTGTCTTATTTGACAAGTTTTCCTTTCCTATAAGTTCCGATATTAATCTCCGTGTCAATTCTTTTGGGTTACTTCGGAACCTCTTCAACATAAACAATCTTGAGGATTGTATATACACGGGGTACTCTTTACATAATTGCGTCATATTCTGTTTTAAAAATATGTAATTATGTTAAAAATAAAATCTATTAATTGAAAATATCATTATAATTTGAATTTTTTTGAAACAAGTTTATATTATATATTTTTATTAATTTATTAAATATTAGGTTAATATATTCGTTAATAAAATTTTAGTAAACAATTGTAAAATACTTCTAGTGTAGAAATAAAATTATAATAAAATGATATTGAATATTATTAAACTGACTGTTGATCCTGAGATTGATTTTTGGTTATGAACATGACTTTTGACCCTTTCGCGCACGAGTTCTAAAATTCTTTCTATTAACACTACAGTATCCTGAGTTACATCTGCAAAAAATATATATTTTTTATTTGTAATAATTTTTATATTTGAATAATTTAACGGAAATAATCCGCGTAGAAGGTGAGGGTTCCCGGTAGGGGCCTTTACGACGAGTGGGCTGATCGGATCTTTTTTATACGGGAATAATTAAAAAATACAAGTGTATTGGTTATAAAGAAGTTATAGGTACCCAATCCATCAAATATATTTATGAGTTTTGATGTAAGTATCTCTGATTCTGTAAAAACAGTAGAAGATTGACTTTCTTCATTTTCATCTATTGTTTCATCATCACTTTTTTTTCATTACTACTTGTGTCTTTAATATTATTGAATCTTATTTCCTCTTTCGTCTTTTCTTCTTGCTCTTTACTTCCTTTTTCATTATTTATTGTATCTTCCCTAGTTTTCTCATCTTTTTCCTCTTTTTTCTTATTCCCTTGCTCTTCACTTTTTTTTCATTACTACTTGTGCCTTCACTATTATTGACTCTTTTTTCCTCTTTTTTCTTTTCTACTTGCCCTTCACTTCGTTTTTCATTATTTATTGTATCTTCCCTATTTTTCTCATCTTTTTCCTCTTTTTTCTTATTCCCCTGCTCTTCACTTTCTTTTTCATTACTTCTTGTGTCTTCACTATTATTTTTCCATTTCTCTAATTTTTTTTTCTCATTTTCATGCTTCTCAATTTCTTTTTTATTATTTTTTATATTTTCACTACTATTCTTTCCTTTTTCCAATTTTTTTTCCTCATTTTCTTGCTTCTCAATTTCTTTTTTATTATTTTTCATATTTTCACTACTGTTCTTTCCATTTCTCAATTTTTTTTTCTCATTTTCTTGCTTTTCAATTTCTTTTTTGTTTTTATTTTTATCATCTTCACTAATATTCTTTTCTTTTTCTAATTTTTTTTTCTCATTTTCTTTTTTATTAATTTTTATATCTTCAATACTATTTTTTTCATTTCTTTTATTTTCTTGCTCTTCCCTTTCTTTTTTATCATTTATTGCACCATCACTATTTTTCTCAACTTTTTTCTCTTTTTGCTCAAATTTTGTTTCACTATTCTCATTTTTTTTCAGATCCATTTTTTCCTTTTTATTTTTCATACTATCATTGACCGTTTTTTTCTTTTCTTCTTTTTGTTCAATCTTCTTCATTTTCAATTTATCATTTTCTTCATCTTCCCTTTCTTGCATTTTATTTCTTGAAGCTTTACTGTCTTTCTTCACATCTTTCTCACTTTTCTTTAATTTTCCTTTCTCATTTAATTGTTTTTCACTTGTTGTAGCTTCATTGTCTCCCTTTCCTTTCCAAACTATTTTATCAATTTTCTGCATTTCTGTTTTATCATTTCCTTGTCCTTCGCTTTCTTTATCTGAAAAATTAATTAATTAATAAATGAACAAATTGATGTAAATTAATAAATGGAAAAATTAAAGAATATTGTAAATTAAAAAATAAGTGAAAATAATATGTTAATTTATCTTTGAATAATTTATATTTTTTAAGGTATAATTTTATTACTTTGAGAACTGATAATATTCACTGGAAGTGAAATTTTTTTTGAGATGTGATTCTCCAATATTTTATTTGTTACCATCCTCATATTTTTTTTCAATTTTTCCGCAGCTTTTTCGCTATCCGATTTTTTTTTATTCTTGATGTTCATTTTTCCTTTTTTATTTTTAGGGATAATTTCTCCTTCTACCGAAATGTTAATTTTTTGAAGAAATTGTTTATCTTCTATAAATAGAAAAAAAAGTTGTTTAATATTTATAATTTTCATTTAGTGAATTCGTTTAATTTTAATTATATATATATTTTTATTAAATTAAAATTAAAAATGATTTTCTAATAACAAAATAACTACGATAATTTTCCAATACTGTTAATAAATGAATTCAAGTAATGATAATTTTTTGAACCTCATAACCTTAATAAATAACATTCACATGGTTAACTTCTTATTTGATATCATTTTTAATAAGGAAACTATTTTTAAAACGTATTTTATAATTCAAAAAATAAGAAAGATATGTTTAAAATTTTTGTATGAGAAATTATTTTGCAAATAAGGATTCCTTTTTCTTACCGCTTCGCTTGATTAAAATCGCCTGATAATAATCATCGCCATATAACACCTCGACAGTATCACCTTCATTTCTTTTTGCTAAATCTGGAGTTTCTTCCATTACTGTAATTTCTTTTGAGTCGATCCATTTCAACAAGACGTACATTTTTAACGATGTATCTCTAACTCTCAAATTGTATGATATCTAACTGTCAGATCATAAGCTATTTATAAACAAAAGACACTTACACATTGAATAATTTAATTTAATGAGGCTGAAGTCCGCAACGTTTTCAAACGATAAATTAAAATAGAAATATATTTTTTTTCAAATTAATTAATATCTAATTTTGATTTTCACAAATTTTAATTAAATTAATTCTTTTGTAGAAGGCTGTTGGTGTCGAAAAACTTTAATTTTAAGCCAAATAATCCACACTATCTTAATAATTTTTGGTTTTCATTTTTTTTGAAAATATTGCGGACTTCAGTATCATCGTTTTGTCATTGTCTTTGTGATCGCTTTAACATGTTGGTGTCAAACTCTAATACAAAATATATTTTTACTTTTGAAATTTATTAATAATGGAACCGCGGTTGAGAAATTTCGAACAATATTCTGTTAGACACCAAAGGCGAATAATTGCAGCCTTGAGAGAATCAAGTTCTGACGAATCAAGCTCTGACGAATCAAACTATTCGAATTATTCAAATAATTCAGACGATTTTCGTTCTGTAAATATAATTTCTAAGATATATTTTTCTTTTACTTTATATTATTTATACTTACATAATGTAAATATTTTTATTTTCCTTGCCTTCTATTAAATTTTCGAGATTTTTGCTTTATTGAATTATAACGGAATTTTTAACCTGATTTTCCATAATTTAAAACATTATAATTCCATCATAAAAACATTATTTTAAAAAAGTGCTTGAACAATATTTTAATCTCAAATAAATTTTTCATGTATAAATTTAAATTTCAAATTTTTTTATTATAAATTTTTACACCTACACTAACTTTTAGTGACAAACTTTTTAGAAGTTTAATTATTATTTTTATTTTTATTATTGGTTCAAAAAATACAAATTTTATCCCATTCTAGAAGTTTTTTATACAAGTATAGTAAAAAAGTGTTGAAAATAATCTTTAGTTTTTTATTTATTTATTTGCTAGAATAAATTATTATCTTTTACAATAGTCGACAAACTTTATAAATTTGAAAATGCAGGAAAATGAATTCACCGAGTAAAACTCTGCTATTAATTTTGGGTTAATGCAGTATAAATTTTCAAAAGAAAGTTTAAATTTTTAAAAAAATTTGTCGAATCTAATTTTTCCAATATTAATTGATTATGTTGTCACTCCTCAGGAAAACAATGATGACAATAACATTAATGAGAATATCATTAACTTGAACAATGACTGTGAAGAGCAGAATTTGCAGGATAATTATTCCAGTAATAATGACTCGATTGACAACCAAAGTGTTGATTCTTACATTGAATCGGATTTAGCTTATACTAATAGTGACACTAATTCTGATGGTTCATTTAGTGATCCCAATGATTCATCAGATGATGGTAATTTTTTGTTATCTTATACGAAATACACCATTCCTTTTTATTCTCTACATCATTCTTCTTTAATTTTTCCATTCTTCTTCACTTTACCTAGGCTTGTTTTCATTTCCTATTTTTGATTATTTTTAAAATTTTTTTCTTTTTCTTTCTTCTTATTTTTCTCTCTTTCCTCTTAAATCATCAGTCTTTAATTTTTTAAATTTTCACCAGAAAAATCTGATTTTTCTGGATAGTGACGTTAGTTTCTATGTCATTTTGTGAACTCATTTTGAATTAAAACAAAAATGAGTCAAATTTTTTTAAGCTGTTTTTAATTTTAGCTCTACCCGTGCAGAAATTTAAAAGTGGTTATAGCGCCCGACATCGCTGTAACGTTGTTTTGAACATTGGCAATTCAATTACTTTAAATTTAAAATATTTATTTTAACGCTGTGAACACAGTAGTAAAAACTGCCATTTTATTTCGTGGTTTCTACAAAAAATTTTATTTTTAAAATTTCTTGTCACACAAAAAATTCAAATAATTGAATTTACAATATAAATATAGTATATATATATATATATATATATATATATAGTTTTACCAAAGAACTTTTAAAATTTAATTTGTTTTTTCTTCAAAAAATGAAAATACACAGTTGGACTGACTTTAGTTCCTATTGTTTATCGGATTCTTTCTTTTAAAAAATTCAACATCGAAGCCTAATTACTTATTACGCAATAAAATGCTTTTAACTTTTTAAAGATATTATATTTTAAAATAACACTTAATTAAATTTTACATTTATAAAAATTCAATTGCAAAAATAAAGATATTTAAAATGCATTTATATTAAGTACGTTGAGTTGGTCTAAAAACTTTAATGGTTCAAGTAAAAATATTTTTATATTTGACGCAACTTATCTTCTGAAAAAAATGATTTTATTCAAGAAAAATTGATTCAAATTAATAAATCCGATGAATAATATGGCATTCATTAGTATCTCTAGTAAACGTCCTATGTATTGAAACTTAATTTACATACTTCTTTTTAACATTAGAAAATGTTTAGACGCAGATCAATGCCTTATTTAAAATAGGGAAATTTCTGCACGGGTATTTGTCTGTTATAGGAAATAAATTTAAATAAACTTATTATGTAGAATTTTACGATGCCTTGGAAGTAAGTGATGATGAAAATGGTAGCAGAGCTTCGGAAAATGAAAATGATGAAACAAACAGTAGTGATTCTGAGAATGAAAATGACGAATTTGTGAACAATCAGGACCCACCTTTGTTTCAACAATGTCCTCTTACACTTTCAGAAAGCTTGCTCTCTGTACTCTCACTTACATTACGCTATACGATTACCGGCGTATTACTTGCTTCCATTTTGGAAGTCATTAAAATGCATTGTCCAGAGCCTAATTATTGTGTTGATTCCCTATATAAGTTTAAACAATATTTTGAACATTTAAAAAGCCCTGTAAGAAGACACTTTTACTGCTCAATTTGCTTAACCAATGTTGAAGATGAAAATCAGCAATGTCCAAATTGCTTCGATAGATCGGAGATTAGTTATTTCATGACGATTTCGATTATTTCACAATTAAGTGCTTTATATAGCAGACGTGGATTTCGCGATAAATTAAATTATAAATTTAATAGAGTCAAATTAATAGAAGAAAACATCGAAGACATTTACGACGGTAGTGTTTACAAAGAGTTAAGTGAAGATGGACAAATATTATCGGATCCAAAGAATGTATCTTTTTGTTGGTATACGGACGGTGTTAAAGTTTATAAATCGTCAAAGTTTTCTTTTTGGCCGCTATATCTTGTTATAAATGAACTGCCTTATAACGAGCGATTCAGAAAAGAAAACTTAATTTTAGCAGGAATGTGGTTTGGTGAAGAAAAACCTTCACCAAACTTATTTCTTCTCCCATTATGTGACGAAATTAACCAACTAGAAACTGGTGTCGAATTCAATATTCCTGAAGCTGAAGTTCCAATTAACGTAAAGGGAATTATAATTTGCGGGACCTGCGATCTTCCGGCAAAAGCCCTCTTCCTGAATATGAACCAATATAATGGTAAATATGGTTGCCATAAATGTAAAGAAGAGGGTGTCAGAGTCGGTAACGTGCAAGTATATCCTTACCATAGAAATATGACAATGCGAACAGAAAATGAAACTTTGCAATAAGCCGCTCAAGTTAATAGACAACCTGTGTTCGGTGTGAAAGGTTTCACAGTTCTCTCTATCCTAGTTTATCAGTGGATAAGGACAACTGCCCTCGATGCTATGCATTGCGTTTTTGAGGGGGTTATGAAGGCTCTGCTAAATTTATGGTTCAACCCCGAATTTGCCGATAATCATTGGTCCCTTTATAATTATATTGATATTATCGATGATAGACTAAAAAATATAAAACCACCTGGATTTGTTCAGAGAAGGCCAAGATCTATTAAAAAACATTTAAGTTATTGGAAGGCTTCAGAAATGAAAAATTTTTTCTTTTATTACTCTCTTTTAATTTTGGAAGATATAATGGAAACGGACAATTTTGAGCATTTAAAATTAGTTATTGGAGCAGTATACTTACTTTGTCAAAAAAGTATCTCTGAACAAATGATTATTGACGCATCCCGAATGTTGCATGAATTTGTCTCAAGATATCAGTATATATATGGCCTCAGAAATATGTCTTGTAACGTTCATTCTCTTCTTCATCTGCCAGACATTGTGATTACTTTGGGTCCACTTTGGGAGTATAGCTGCTTTTGTTTCGAGGACATTAATGGAAAATTAAAAGCTTTGGTCCACGGAAGTAAATCTGCACAATTGCAAATTTACAATGCGGCTTCCTTATATATCGGCACTTTTACTCTCAATAAAGATTACTTAAATGAAGGCAGCAAACCGTTCCTATTTTGCAAAAAACTGTTATGTCCGACAAAGCAACTAAAGTTGCAAAGCATTGGACATTCTCTCTATATAGCTGGAGGATTGTCAAGGATTCCTCTTGCAGATGAAATACTTGATGAATTTCAACAGAATGGTATTTTTGGTCGCAAATACACCGTTTTCAAAAGATTAAAAAAAGATAATACAGTATATATGTCCGAAATATATACTCAAGTCAAAGTAACCAATTCTACTTGTGTAAAGTACGTTTCTTTCAATGTACCAATGTTTGGAATTATAAAATCATTTGTTAGAGTTACTAACTGCCTATGCCATCGAATATGCCAATGTAGAGCAGATCATTATGCCGTAATAAAAAATTGTCGTACTCGAATAGCTTACACTAACACATGCTTACCTGGAGTATCACCATTTAATTATATTCATCAATTAGATATTCTTGAAAATGAAGTTAGAATCATAAATGTTAATTCCTTAATTTCGCTGTGTTTCCTTATCGAAATCAAGGATACTAATTTTGTATACGCGGTTGAGCCTATAAATATGGTGGAAGAGGAATAAAATAAAGTAACAAAATATTGCTGCATCAAAAATTAATGTTAAAGGGCCATCAAACTTTTCCCCCCTTATTAATTACT